TTTTTTTTTTTTTTTTTTTTTTTTTTTTTTTTGGACCTGGGGTTGAACTCAGGCCCTTGCGCTTATGAGGCAGGCAGCAGAACCACTGAGCTAAATCACCAGCCCAAAATTTGAGAATTTTTCATGAGACAAAGAAATTATGTTATTTTCAGGATGTTGCTTCCATTCTTTGTGTTTCCATCATCATCATCGTCATCATCATCATCATCATCATTTTAGTAGAGAATGAAGTGCTGTGTTCTTTATTCCAGTTGAATTCCCAAAGCCAGGAAATGAAAGGCTGGGCACGGTAGCCTAAGCTTGTCATCCTGGTGCTTGGAAGACTGAAGAAGGAGGACCATGAGTGGCCAGACCAGGCTACTAAGTGAGAGACCCTGTCATAAGTAAATACACACATAAAGAATCTCAAATACATTCATTTTGCTCTGCCACAGATTAAAGTTATTTTAAGTAAGTGTTCTACCTTAAGATAATGTTTTGCTAGGCCAAGCGACATCTTTCCTTTTTACTCCACCTCCACTGTCACAGGTTGTCCTCACAGACAGATCCTCAATTTGTGTTCTTTAACAAGTTCACGATGGGCTCCTTCAAGAACCTGTGGAGGATTTCCCCATTCTCCTGTACCTTCCAAGGTCACCTCTACTCACTCAATCCTCTTCGTCCTGCGTCTTCACTCAAGTCTATCCTGTTCGGAAGAATCTGCTTTTGGCCCGTTAGCTCCATATTCTTTTTCTTCTGAATTAATTAATAGGCTAGAAAGCAAACGTATATAAACATTATAGGGTTCTATTTCATACATACTCATTTCCATACACCAAGAGATAGTTTAAAAGTATACATCATTGATATTGTCTGGGTTATCTGTTGAAATTCATAAGTTAGAACAATAGTCCTTTGCGATCTCAGTATTCTGGGCACACAGCTTAACTTGGTGACCATCTGCTGAACATAGTTTTCACTGGCACTGCCAATCTCAGAGTCCCACTGGTGTAGAGCACCCGTGAGGGCCCAGCAGGCCTGTTTTGCTGGCTACTGGCTGAGCACCTCGAGTTTCTGCACATAGCTTTTCCTCGTGAATTGGGATTTTTGTTTCTTTTTTTCTTTTTTTTTTTTTTT